AATATTGAATTAATCGATTGTTTGAGTCGATTCTACACACCTGCATTTGTTTTTATAAGTATGTACATATTAGTGGAACAACAAGATATAACAACATTTATAACATACGTCTCTGTTTTTATATATTTATAAAAATGCGATAGTCAATGCAGTTAAACATTGAACGGACACAAGGCATGTACTTATAAGGTACCACCATTTGTTTTAAAACAGTATAGTTAATTTTAAAACAGTGTTTTTTTTATATTATGAAATGAATGCACAAAATGTACCTAGACCTCGATCATATAACTCCATTGAGGCAGGGCTTGTGTATCTATATTTTCTGATTTAATTGGATATAAAAATGAAAATGATTAAACGTCCTCTGGCAGAATTGTCCGTCATGACGGCGATCTTAATGTCACTACAAGTTGAAAATCCGCCGTTTTTTAATCGATTATTTTATTTATATATCTACAACGATCATAGATCAGTAAATGGCCTAGTGATATCGACAGTTGGCTGCTATGCAGGCGGGACCGGCTTCAATACTCAGCCGATACAGTAGCTTTTTTTTTAATTTAATAAAATATGAAATCCGCCGCACTTACGTGAACGGTGAATATATCGACTGACTTTCAACGTAGTGGCATTAAGTCATTATTGACACTATAAAAAATATCTACTATGCAATACGCTTACAAATATTCGAGTAAGTGTGTAAGCGTGTTACAAAATTTTAAAAATGATTTTCATAAATAGAATGTACAGGGTGGTGCAGGTGACATTAAAATTATAATTCAACTCAGGTACACTTTGTAAATATATACTAAGTGCTACTAAATCTGAAAATCTAAACAACATGTCTTGTTCTATTTTTATAAACCACCCTGTATATGTATACAAATTTATAATTGCTCAATGCAGACTTTAGTAACATGTTTCTAGTAATATACCTACATACACATACACATACATACATACAATACATTCCTGTTATCACAGGAGGATTTCGAAATGTCAAAAGTCCATGTCCAGAATATCATCTGTCAGTCTTTTAATTATTACAATTTTATCTGTTTAATTTCTACACACGGTGAATTTACACAGGTATTGTACATAAAGAGTTCAAAAATACTAACGTTTGTGATACCAACAGATACATCATACAAATTGTGAAAACTGACCAATTTTTTTTTCAGAAATAATTAGACACTTAATAAATGTTTGTAGTTGTAATACCCGTATTTGAATTATATCATTCTTTTTGTGACTTTTATTATGCAGTCTGGAGTTCTTTTTTTTTTTTTTTTTTTTATGTGTTTTCTAATTTGAAAACTAACAATTCTCTGCTACTTGTAAGGTCTAGAAATCTTTTAATTTTTAGTGTCTGGATTTTAACGCGCCAATAATTATAAGAATTAAGACCACAGATTTATTTTCAGAATCTTGAAATCATAAATTAAGGTTTTCTAATAATGCTTAAAGAAGTTTTACCGATATTTTTTTGAAAAATCGATGATTGATAGGATAGTCTTTTTTCTAAAAGGTTCAACGTAATGTGCTGCATATTTATCAAATTTTTAGACAACAATAATTTTATTAAGATTTTCCATTTTCTCCTATTAATGACTAATGAAAGTAATCAAAGCTGAATAAGGACGTGAAACGATTTACTGGAATAAAACCTACACCGATGTTTCGCCTCCTGTTTGATGTTTTTTCAAGGTAGGCTTTTTAAGTCACAATGTGTCAATACACTCATCCCAATAAATGTCTATTAATCATCGTCATCATAAGGTCGTTGGTCCTAAGACTGGTTGGACACGAATCTTCACTGTTTCTTATCCTGAGCTAATCTTCGCTTTTCCCTGGAACTAGAACAACCCACATTCCTAACTATTTGTAAACAGTAATCTAATCTAGGTCTACCTCTACTCCTCTTAACTCCTGTTTCTGCTTCTGATATATCTCTGACTAGCCCTTTACGCCTGAGAAGGTGTCCTACCAACCTATCTAGCCTATTTTTTATTGGCTTTCGTAGTTTGTTCTCCTATTCTTTCTAACCTAACTTTCTCTATCCAGGGTATCCTCATCATTCACCTGTAACACCACATTTCTAACGCTTCTAACCGTTTTTTTTCCGCCGCACGCACCGTCCATGTTTCGCACCCGTAGAGCGCCACGCTTCATACATACATCTTTAACAATCTTTTTTAAATTTCTAACTTAACCGTTCGCGAGCACACTTCTTGTTGTTGAAAGCGATTCGACCCTTCGTTATCCCCTGTTTTATATCTCCACTGCTCCTTCCATCCTGACTTATCTAACTTCTAGAAAATCGAAAATCGGCGAAAATATCTATTCAGCTTTGATTATTTTCGTAATTTCTCAAAACATACAAGATTCAAATTATGTATTTTAATCACTTTAAGACAACGTTTCGACCAAAACTGCATAAATAGGTTTTTCGACGTGTTGAAATATCAGTTTTAATATAAATTAAAATGTGACTGCGAATTACTGAGAAGCCGAAGGTAATCGATATACATGCTTTGGGCTCTGTTTTCCGTTAAATCTGAATTATTATTTGGCAAGCTTAGGCTCTAGACTATGACCATCATCAGAAACAATTTAAGTCCATAATGCAGTATAAAATCGTCGAATAGTCGTTTAGACTTCCTCATACATTACCTACATGTATTGTAGAAAACTAGACCTACTTAACGAAAGAAGACCTGTTAACATTGTGATATTGCTTACGCTTTATGAACACTAACATGTGTCACAACGTTCGCGTGATGGAGATCGGTATCGGACTTGGATTCTCCCGGTTCCTGTTCAGACGAAGTTTGAGACGTGAAATAAGGATGTCGGTGACGATGTTGACATTTGGGAATGGCTCCCGTCAAACGGGAATCGGAACTGATAGCGCGTTCGAGGCGACCTCTTTGGCGTGTAGTGTCTCTTCTACGTGAACGAGACCTGTGACTGCAATCCGATGCGTTGGAACTTCGTCTGTGGTTCTTTTGAGGGGTGCCAGTATTGGTAGTTGTAGTTGTGGTGGTAGGGAGTTGGTGAACCGAACCCCCTGTAGATAAAAAAATCGTTATACAGTAAGTGGACTGTACAATTGCTCATTACAAAGACAAAAAACGATAAATTTGAGACATCAAAGGAAACTTATGTATGGTTACAATCCATGTCGCTCATTGTCCTCTAAAATCGAGAAAAAATAAAAAGAAAATAGGTACTTTTGAAATGGGAATTTTCTGATGAACTGAGTAGTTGTTGAGAATGGCTCGCGATGTACCAGCTGAAATTACATTAAGTACATACTTCGATACAATAAAAGAAGTGCTGCAAGATTTAATTTCTCTCTCGTTTTATTGAAAAATCGTAAGATTCTCGGACTTTTTGAGACTAGTGAATAGATCTAATAACTAGAAATAAGTAGTTTCTAAATTGGAACAATCGACATTACGGAAGAAAAGGGCGCACTGTATTTAAAAAAACAGTCCGTTTGAAAAATTACCTTTATATTATTTTTCATTGCCAGTAATAGTCACTATACAGTAAACAAAAATTGGACTTTGATTATAAACATTTATGACAGTGTTTGAAACGTTTCCCTTCATACCAACACCAATTAACCAAGTATCAATACTCTAATATATTTTTAAAATGCAAATATTAATGACTAATTCGGTCAAGAAGATAATTATTATAACACATCCAGGCTTCTTTGTATCTTCCAATCAATTGGTCAGCGCACGCCGATAGAAAATTTAAATAAAACATAGCCTGTATTACTCAGGGATAGTTTAGATGTCTATTAGTTGAAAAATTTTTAGAATCGGTGTAGTAGTTTCAAAGATTACTCCGTACATACAAACAAATTTGCTTCTTTATAATATTAATGTTACATATAAAAGCATGTATGTTATAAAATCAATAAATATATTGGTTGTGTACTGTGTAAACGCCTCTGGTTGTGTATAAGCAATTCCGAAAACGTCGACATAATGATTATGGATGACATACACGACGCGCAATAACAAAAGAATTTCGAGAATCTTCCGGAAAAATGAAAAGTCTTAGCAATTTAAATAGGCCTCTGAGTGACAGCTGGTGTCAGTTGGTATATATGAAGAAGTGACCGGTAATTCAAATAAACAAAGCGAAAAATGTAAATAAGAGTAATTCAAGTGTCTATTTAGTGTTTTTGTGTAAATAAATAACTGTTAAACAAATAGATGATTACTAGAAGATTCGTTACATTAGTGCATGGGTAAATTAACGTTTAAGTTGAAATCTTGTATCTTGTTAATTACCTATGACTCCTGATTCTCTCACGTGTCTCGACGGTAGTCTTGGTGAGCATGAATGTGAACTTCTTCGAGAGTTGTCGTTCGAACGGTCTTCTTCGTCAACTCTTTGCTGTCTCCGGAGAGGGTTTCGTCTACGGTCTCTCACCCTTAACGTAACAGGACACTCCAGATGCAGATCCAATGCCATTGAACCCTGGCTACCGGCATCCGGTTGTAAATCGTTTCTAAATTGAAATCGGAAGACTCATTATTTCGAGGATATTTTGTGGCTTTCAATATGCATGCCGCCAAATGAAATATCGTTCTACATCACTTACGCGATGTCGTAGACAGTGTGTAAGTAAAATAATGCGGAGCTTACATAAAGTGATAAAACTTTATAAAACAAGAAATTTATGTGAATATTTGCGAGTACGAATGTTTTCGAGAAAAACATATTTAAAAGAATAGTCCGACCCTGGTGAATCACGCAGAGAAATACGACAACGTGACGCCGCATTCAATCAGTTGGTAACTTGCAGTCTCAGTCATCGGTACTAGGTCAGTATATAACTGTAGAACAATTCTTATTAGTATTGTGAGCTATGTCATTTAAAGTCTACAACAAGTCTTGCAACAAACAGATTTTAACCGGAAGCAGTTTTGTAATGGTTTCGGCAAGAAAGTGCTATCTATCCCAATTTTTTCCATATGGTGATGTTTATATCCCTAGTAGTCCGGACTTCTTTGTATGAGGTTACGCAAATGAAACAGCGCGTGTATTATTTTTAGAAGTAATTTTGGTAGACGCCTTGAGGATTGTTTTCTTTACGTGTTGGACAACTAACTGTTTATGTTACATTAATGTGTAACTGTTCAGTCCTTATCGTAATTTGCTGTATTCGAAGATTTGGTGTTACACACGTTGGTAAATTACGCCCAGGGTCGGCTTCGGATTGTAATTTGTCATGGTTTTTTCTTACAAACTCTTTTGCCCCTTTACAACGCTGATGTACTCACCATGCAATTTCTTATTGATTTGGTCGACATTCTCCAAAACGCTGAACTTATTTCAGATACATAAATCATTATGTGCAACTTTTTTTCTAGTACCCATGGGTACCATTTTTTCGCGCAGCAATTACTATGCATCTGTGGACTTGGATTAGATGGTTCCATTTATCTTTTCGGAACGTTGTGTGTTTTACGTATATATACAAAAGTAATATATACAATAAGCACAATTATTGTACGTGTATCGACCATTATTTTCTGGCGGTAAAGAGAATGTAACTGGGACCGGGCGACCGTACATTGTATAACCATTTGGAAGCGAAGTAAATTAAACACAACGTATACGTACATTCATAGCAAAAAGCACACGAGGCAATACGAGAAAAGCACTTAAACGTAAGCTTTGCTAAAAGTACTTGTAAAACAGTAACTCTGCTTCACTGCCTGTCAGTCTAAGCAAGGGGAGAACGGAATTGTTCTTTTGCACAAAACAGTGAACACGAACGGTAACTGCTACGTTGCTAGCTATTGTTCCAAACTATGCAGTGCTGATGCTAATCCTGATCCTGATCTCTGATGTATACTGTACAGAGGCGTAATTGATTTGAATTAGTTTTATTTATAAAACAGCAAGAACTGTTCACCATTTCCTGCGGTATCTAGCTTTGAAAATCGGGGACTTTAAGTTATTCTTTTCTAATGTTTATATTTATATCCATATTTAGTTACCTTGTTTTTTCCACTTTTCTTTTTCATATAGATGTATTTATATTAAATGGTAACAGAGTAATTGCCCAAAAAAAGCGAATCCCACACAAAATATTTTTAACTTTCTTTGATGTCGTATAAAAAAGCAAAAAAAAAACACCTGTGTTTTGATATCAGTTAACCGGAAGTAACAAAATTGGCGCAGACAAATAAATGTTGAGGTAATTGATTAGTTCTCAAAGAACCAAATTCTTTGTTCGTTTTGTTTCTCTTGCTTTCCCTATATAAATAACAATATTCCCAGTTTGTTTCCCCTTACACTTGTATTTTTAGATTTCCTACATGTTACAATGGACTAAAAATGTATTTTTATTAGTTTTCCCTGTTGTCAGTTAAATTAAAAAATACATCAGCTAGCCAAAGCTTCACGTTTCAGTGAACTTGTTGATTTTTTTTTTGGTCTTGACTCTTCAGGCCGCTGCCAATATGAAGATTGTTATAACACTTTCGAACAATGTAGGATTCTTTATTTATTTCATGCAGAAAATCTTAATGAAATCGTAAGACTCCACTCTTTCCTATCCTGAGCTAATCTTCGCATTTCCGTTAAACTAGATCACCCCACATCCTTAACTATTTGCGAACAGTAATCTAATCTTGATCTACTTCTAGTCCTCCTAACTCCCGTTTCTACCTCTAATATGTCTCTGACTAGACTTTTATGCCTGAGAAGGTGCCTACCAACCTATCTCGCCAATTTCTTATTGACTTCTGTAGAGTCCTCTGTTCTCCTATTCCTTCTAATACTTCTTCATTTCCAACTTTCTCTATCCAGGGTATCCTCATCATTCACCTGTAACACCGCATTTCGAACGCTTCTAACATTTTCTTTTCCGCAGCGCTCACCGTCCATGTTTCGCACCCGTAGAGCGCCGCGCTTCAAACATACACCTTTAAAAATCTTTTTCGAATTTCTAAATTAACCGTTCGCGAGCATAGAAGTGATTTCTTTTTAGTGAAGGCGACTCGATACTGCGCTATACTCTGCTTTATATCCCTACTACTCCTTCCGTCCTGACTTATCTAACTTCCTAGATACCTACCTAAAATCAGCCACTTCTTCTGATTTTTTATCTCCTATCTTTATATTCGCTCTTTCCCTGTTTTATCTTTCCTTGTATACCAGCATTTTTGTTTTACTTTAATTTATTTCCATACAGTACTGTTTTGTCAATATCGCTTCCATTTTATTTAAATCTATCTCTAACTCGTCAATATCGCTTCCATTTTATTTAAATCTATCTCTAACTCGTCAATATCGCTTCCATTTTATTTAAATCTATCTCTAACTCGTCAATATCGCTTCCATTTTATTTAAAGCTATCTCTAACTCGTCCTTGCTAGATGCTAATACCGCTATATAATTTGCAAATCTAAGCATACTAATCGTTTGTCCCTGTATATCTATCCCTACAGTTGTACTGTCTATAATGTTGATCGCATCTTCGATGTATAGATTAAAAGTAGGTGTGACAGTGTGCATCCCTGTCTAACTCCCTTCCTAATATTTACTACTTGCAACCCCAGCTCTATAATTGCCTGTTGCTCTTTATACAAACGAAATATCACTCTTCTATCTCATCCCTACATTTTTAAGTATATTTAACATCTTTTCCCATTTAACATTGTCAAAAGCTTTTTGTAAATCTACAAACCCTATGTACGCACTCTTTCCCTTTTCTATCGTTTTCTCTATTGGTACCCGTAAAGCTAGAATGGCCTCCTGCGTTCCTCTATTATTTCTATACCCAAATTGATCTTCCCCTAATAGTTCTTCTGTCCTTTTTTCCGTTTTCCTCTGTACAATTCTAGTTAAGATTTTTGACGTACGGGAAGTTAAGCTAAATGTTCTAAATGTCATCGAAACAAATTTTTAAATGTTTGACGGTAAGCGAAATTTCCCCCAACTCGAACATACATAATTGACTACATTTAGGAGGGGTGGGTTAGGAAGGTTGGACTGTAAGTATGTAGATGAACATAATTGAATCGTAAATCTCCGTGAAACATAATCTTACTTCTACTCACCGGAATGTTTGAGCCGTCTCGTCAACGGAAAGCGCGTGTCGTTGAAGACCAGGACGCGCAAGGAGCGTCGAACAGGCTGCCGGATTACGCCTGTTGCCCTCGTGATGGTGAAACCTTGGGCGCTTCTCATCGAGAGGCGATCGTTTGAGCAAATCGCCCACGTTGGCGGCGCCGTCGCCGCATCTACCACCCCCGACATTAACGCCTCTGTCGCCGCCGCTGCCTGATTCAATTCCACCCACACTATCTCCGTTATTCTCCTGCATCAGGTTAGGAGCCGATGGACTTTTATTAACTGAAAACTGGAACGCAACGAATTAATTTAACATTGCTGGTATTAGGTAAAATCATAATTTCTGTGACAAAAAACTGAGAATTACTGTAAATAATTAAACGGAACGGTCAGTATAAATGCCTACACTACTCATTACAAGAGTATTTGTCAATGTAAGTTTATATCATTACTAATTACATAAGTGACGTTTAATAGGAATCATTTTAAATTCTTCGACATAAAAGTAATAGTTAATTAATATTTTTTATATTAACAATTACAAAAATAACAGTTAATATAAATAATTAATATTCATTACAAAAGTAGGGTTTAATGGAAAATATTTCCATTACCCATTATAAATGTACCTAATGGCTAATGTAAATTTCTTACTCAATATAAAAAGTAATCATCATCATCATCCTTTTAGGGTCGTCAGTCCTAAGACTGGTTGGGCACCTTCACCTTTTCCTATCCTGAGCTAATCCTAGAGTATCCCACCTTCTTCACTATTTGAGATCAGTAATCTAACCTAGGTCTACCTCTACTCCTCGTAACTCCTGTTTCTGCTTTTAATATATCTAACTACCCCTTCGTGTCTGGGAAGGTGTTCTACCAACTCATCTCGCCTATTTCTTGTTATTCTCTGATCTGTTTCAACGTTCGCTTTTAACCGTTTCTTTTTCTCCGCGCCCACTGTCCACGTTTCGCACCCGTTCAGAGCCATGCTCCAAACGTACACTTTCAACAGTATTTTTCGAATTATTCGGCCGGAGACCTAGTAGTGACTTCTTTTTGTTAAAGGTGACTACCCTGCGCTATCCTTTATTTCATATCTCTACTGCTTCTTCTATCCTGAATTATGCAATTTCTTAAATACCGAAAGTCAGCGACTTCTTCTAAGTTTTTGTCTCCTTTCTTTCTATTCTCTTTCTTCCTACTTTTTCTTCCCTTGTATACCAATATTTTATTATTATATATTATTTTATCAATATCGCTTTCATATCACTTACAAATCTAAGCATTCTAATATTTTGCCCCTGTATATCTATCTCTAAAGTTATCCTGTTTTTAATGAAGTTTATCGCCTGATCAATATACAGATTAAAAAGTAACGGTAATGTAAATTTGCACATTAGCCATTGCAAAAGTAACTATTAATGTGAATAAATACCATTATTTATTTACATGCCTACTAAAACGAAATTTTCCATAGGGACCTGGAACTGATTTTCCAATACCAGAAATTATGATGCTTTTTTTTATTTTAGTCCTTCAATTACTTTTATTTCTAAACTATTGATGCAGAATTTCTAAAAATTATCTTGAATGCAGTTTAATATGGAAAAGATCTTGACAGATCATTTACAACTGTAAAATCGTGAGCAAGTAGGACGAAATAGGTCGATTTTTGTTTTTTATAAACAACAATGTTTTTAGGAATGTAATTTCTTAACTAATAGCATTTTCTTATTTTACTTCTCCTCTACGATAATACCATCAGGGTTGCAAAAATATTAATGTGAATAATTTACATTATCAATTACTTTTTGCATGAGTAATCGAAAGATTTTACCTTTTATCTTGTTCTAAGTGTAATGTAGTTTCTGTTATTGAATAAAATACCTTTTATACAGTAGTAATGGTTAATGGAAAATATTTCCATTGTTAATGGAAAATATTCGCAATGGTAGATAACGCATAAGATCTTTGTCTTCAGTTTCTCGTATTTGTTGTTTCGACTACTAATTGCAATTAGATCTTTTGCAATATCGCGAAACTTATTATTGTGGATTCCTGTTATTGTGATAGTGTTACCTAAATACGCTTGCATGCTTCTTTTGTTTTCATTTTAAAGCCACCCTCCGCAACATTTTCAACACCCTGTTAATGGATGACATGGGTTCTTCGACATCGCACAGCGTACTATTATTATTATTATTATTATTTCTTTTTTCATCCTTTATCCTATCCGACAGAAGAACCACTTCTTTTGTCATCCACCTTCCGCACGGGGTTGTTACCTTCAAAAATGTCTCGTCAGCAAAATACCAGCAATTTTCAAGGGCTTGCCTTGCAACAATGTTTTAACACGTACAACATAGCAAGCGAGCGAGAGCATTCGACGTTGTTGCATTTTTTCAACACTTTTCAATTTTCAACGGTAATACATATATGTAATACAAAATAGTACGATAAGACGTATGAATATAGAATAATTATTCTATACGAGGTCTGTTTGTATATATATTCGACTAGCTGTACCCTGCGCGCGTTACTACGCCACCAACTAAAATAAATTTGAAAAAAAGACATTACAGAAATATTCAATTCATTTTGACTCATTTCAAATTTCATTGATTTTGTTCATTTCGAAAAAATTGTGACATTTCAGCGTTTTGTTTCAATTCGATATATATTGAAGTGCCGTGGGAAACTTTGCTAAAGATCATCGCATGATCAAATGCATAGTTTACGATTCTATAGGGTTGTTCGGAAAGTCGTTTCGTTCTTTCCCGACAGAGGATTTAATTGTATTCTTTTGTACCCAACTTCACATTAATCCGTATAATTGTTATATGCTTTGAGAGCTCATATAGCAAGGCTTGTGTGTGAAAAATTCCAATTAATTCTACGCAGTAGTTTTTGGTTGGTGCCCTTTTAAATATGGAGAGCGATAAGCAGCATTTTCGACATATCTTACTGTTTTACTACAGAAAGGGTAAAAATGCTGTTCAAGCCAGAAAGAAATTGACTGATGTGTATGGAGAAGGTGTGTTGACAGTACGCCAGTGCCAGAACTGGTTCGCTAAATTTCGATCCGGCAATTTTGATGTCGAAGATGCACCACGTTCGGGAAGGCCGGTTGAAGCTGATAAAGACGCGATAAAGGCATTAGTTGATGTGAACCGGCGAATAACAACACGTGAGATCGGATTGAGGTTAAATTTATCAAATTCAACAGTTTATGACCACTTGAAAGGCCTGGGATTATCCTCGAAGCTCGATGTATGGGTTCCCCATGTTCTCACAGAGAGAAATCTGTGTCGCCGCATTGACGTCTGCGATTCGCTTCTCAAACGTCACGAAAATGATCCGTTTTTGAAGCGCATCATCACTGGGGACGAAAAATGGGTTGTATACAACAACGTCAAACGCAAGAGGTCATGGAGCAAAAAAGATGAACCGGCTCAAACCATTTCCAAAGCCGATATTCACCAAAAAAAGGTGATGCTGTCTGTTTGGTGGGATTTTAAAGGAATCGTTTTTTTTTAGCTTTTACCGGATAACACAACGATTAATTCGGAAGTCTACTGTCATCAGCTGGACAAACTGAATGATGCACTTCAACAGAAAAGGTCAGAACTAATCAACAGGAAAGGTGTAGTGTTTCACCAAGACAACGCGAGACCTCACACAAGTTTGGTCACTCGCCAAAAGCTTTTACAGCTTGAATGGGATACAATGCTACACCCACCATATTCTCCAGACCTGGCACCATCGGATTATTATTTGTTCCGGTCACTCCAAAATTTTTTAGACGGTAAAACCTTCACCTCAAATGAGGAGGTCAAAAACCTCCTCGATCAGTTTTTTGCCAGCAAAGACCAAAAATTTTATGAGCGTGGAATTATGCTACTACCAGAAAGATGGCAAAAGGTGTTGGACCAGAACGGTCAATATATAATTTAATAAAATATTTGTTGACTTTCCTATATAAAGGACATACAGACAAACATTCATTTTTATATAGGTATATAGATTTTCGATTTTTTTTTGTGGCGTTATGTTGGTACTCATGTCTCTCACTTATACCTACAAGTTTGGCCATGTTGAATGTTCAGTTAATTTTTAACAGCTGTTTTGCTTGAACGTGTTTTGGCTCGTCTTCGATTTTTGTCTGTTCCAATGTACGTGAATAACGACCAAAAACGGTCACCACACTTCAAACCATTAAAAAAGTGCATGATATTGTATTGGATGATGGGCGAATGAAACTGAGTGAAGTAGCTGAGGATCTGAAGATATCGGTAGAGTGCGAGTGTGTTAAATGGGTGCCCCATTTGCTGAATGCCGATTGATTGAAAGAAAATCGCAGCAATGTTTGGATAGATTCAATAGGGATCTGACCGATTTTGTACGGCGATTTTTCACCATGGATGAGACATTGGTGCACCACTACACGCCAGAAGCGAAACAGCAGCCCAAGCAGTGGACGGAAGCCAGTGGTTTTGCGTCAAAGAAACTGAAATAGATCGCATCAGCTGGAAAGGTTATGGCCAGCGTATTTTGGGATCCTGTTAATTGATTTGAACCTTGAAAAAAGCCGAACCATTACAGGCGAATGTTACTCTAACCATCTTGACTAGCTGAATGCCGAAACTGGCGAGAAGAGGTCTGATTTAAATAAGAAAAAGAAACATCTTACACCAGGATAGCATACCTGCACATAAAAGCACGTTGGTGATGGGGTTTTGGACACTATTTGTTTGGTCATTACCCCAATTTTCCCTATTTGGCACCCTCAGACTTCTATCTGTTTCGAAACTTGAAGAAATTTGTTTCTGAAGGGAAGAAAAAGTAGGGAAAGAGCGAATATAAAGATAAGAGACGAAAAATTAGAAGAAGCGGCCGATTTTAGGTATCTCAGGACGGAAGGAGTAGCAGGGATGTAAAGCATAAGATAGGACATGGTCGAGTCGCCTTCAATGAAAAGAAGTCACTTCTATGCTCGCGAACGGTTAATTTAGAAATTCGAAAAGGGTTGTTAAAGGTGTAAGTTTGTACAGATGCGAAACATGGTTATAATGGTTATAATCGCTCGAAATGTGGTTTTACCGGCGAATGATGAGGATACCGTAGATAGAGAAGGTTCGAAATGAAGAGATATTAGAAAGAATAGGAGAACGGAGGACTCTATGGAAGTCAATAAGAAATAGACGAGATAGGTTGGTAGGACACCTTCTCGGGCATGAAGGTCTAGTTAGAGACATATTAGAGGCAGAAACGGAAGTTAGATGGGGTAGAGGCAGACCTAGTCTTAGGACTGACGACCTTATGATGATAATGAATCCCTAACATATCGTCGACCCGTTTGGACCTAGTCGTCTTGAAGATGTCTTCAGGATCTCTTCTTTCTAGGCTGATAGATTGAAGATTTTAACTTCTACTTGTTTGCCGATAGCCACAAATCCCAAAAATAAATAGTTATGCCAACGATGGCCGCGAAAGCCGAAATTAATTTCTGACAATTGAGTTAGCCTTGCTAAGGACTAATTTTCAAAAAAAGTACGACGATACCAACAGCAGTCTGCTCGCTACTTTTGATCACTGCCTGTAGATAAATGCAGAAGGAAATTCCTACCTGTTGTACGATGAGGTTTGATTTCTTGATCGGTTGTTGGTTGACGGTATCCAAGACGAGCCCTCGGGAGAACTGTAAGAAGGAATGCGTCAGGGCACGTCTTTCGGCGTCGTGATGAGAATGGACATGCTGCACGGAGGAATGCTGATGAGAATGTAGACAGTGGTATTGATGTTGAGTCGCCATCGTTTGCGAACCTGCTGTTCTAAGGGTCGTGTGTTCGATATACGAGGTATTGCGTCCACACAGAGGAGCACCCGGTGGTCCTGAGCTTACCTTTAAACGAGCCGGCACCACTTTGGCCGCCGAATCTCTCGCTTCAAACGTCATGACGCATGCTGCGACCACAATGAAGCCTGTAAACAATATTGAGCAGATTGTAAGGATAAAGGGTGACCTCCCGGAACCGTTTAGAGTGACTCAGGGGTCGCATATTGACCCTATATAATTTAGATTCTTTATAAATGACATTACTCTATGTTTGAGATACGTAGAAGTTCTGATTTTTGAGAATAACATATCTAAATTTATTTAAAAAACTTCTGACACTTACGGATCAACTGAAACTGCAAAGGGATCTGACTATTTGGTCTTTATGTAATAGACTCTATTTAAATATTGATAAATATGAGGGGTCGGAGGGGCAGGTTTGCCTAAGGGGTCCGTCCCATAAAATTGAAACATGTTAGTTACCAAAAGGATATTTACAATTGGTCTAAAGTACTTAATTTTTTACGTTTATCTTAGACGTCCGATAAATAGTCGGAAATGTATACATTCTCCTCTTCACCTACATTAATTACTTTCCAATAAAAACTAACCGTTTCATATATGTAAAAAATATATTCGGAAAATTAGAGAAAAAAGTAAACTAATAGAAGCTTGGATGAAAGCAGTAGGTATCAAAGAAGTGAATTCCGGAATAAAAATTTGTTCACGTCATTTTAATGCACATGATTATATTTCAGCAAGTATTTACCATCAGCCATAACCTTAATATTTAAAACTAGAATCATACTAAAATTATAAAGTGAGAAATTATTTATTCCTGTGTAATTGATTTAACACAATTCTAATGATACGATATAAGTATTTTGAGGTTAAGAACCTACCTGCTGCAATACAACAAAGTTGCAATAATGTGTTTGCAACGTTCTCTTAAATCGGCTTTGCACGTGCAAGTCATTGATATGATATTGCTTAAATCACCCAGAATCACCTCACCAATTATATAACGTGAATCACTTTTTAAATCCGAAGTTTGTAAAAAGTAGGCAGTAAACTTGACGGAATTTGAAGGCTAGCTTCCGGATTTGTTATTTCCGAATTTTATAATGTGATTGGCATTAAAAACACGCTCACCTTCAACGAAATTTCCTTTCCGAGGCTTTGTGTCAGCCCAATCACATATTGTGTCAATACTTATCATTTTATCGTAATTTAAAAACTTGGAAATTGCACGGTACACTATAGGAACTACGATAAATTTTCCCTAATCGGCGCCATGTTTTTAGGCTCCTCCCATTTGACGGATCCGAACAGCTGGAGTTTTTATCGCACTACACTATTCAGTAGACACCTACATATGTTGCCAACTCACGCACAGGACCGGCTTCTGATTGTAAATGATGATGATTTTCTTAAAATGTTTATTATCCGTTAGAACGCTGCTGATAATTCATCACATTCTTCACTTGTTTTAAACAAGGAAAGCTGCTTTCTCCAGAATAATTTTACAACCAGAGCGTAGAAAGCGGGATACGGAGGGCTATATCCAAGTTCGGTTAAAAATAGCTCAAATATTGGTTTCCCAAAATATAAAGAGATTAAGTACTTGAGTGATAATGATATTGATTCGAGTTTCACTGTCAGACTTAGTAGAAACGTGACAGTGAAAATTTATACATTCCTAAATCTTGAACTAAACCGACTTTTAAATCATTGGGATAATGCTATACTAGAAATTGACGTGAACTATTCCTATTATACTAATCCCCCTACCCTATTAGGTCCCTGCCGTCCCTAAACCTCTTTCGTCAGATTGCGGCTTGTACGGCCTATTAGTAAAACCCATGGCAAAATAGTTGAGTAAAACTAGCACTGGAATTGAAACTCTATTTATTATTAATTCTTCATTGCAATTGTAGTAAACTGTTACATTTCAGTGGGATTCAAAGTTCTCGAAATGGTCCATAAGAATATCGAACTGTTGTACTGAACCCTGTAATTTTTGTTGTGTAAATTGTAATTTGTTTTTCTTTTTCTCATATCTCATAATAATATGATATCTTTATGCCACCCCGTATGATATAAAATTTAAAAAAACTAACACGTTAATTATTCTTATGTGAAACAGTTGTTTACATAATCGATTTGTTCACATTAACGAATGCTATATTTATTATGCGATAAACATCTATAATTAAATGAACAAATACCTATAGTCATTGAAAGACAGCTACACATTCGTAAAATATCAGTAATTAAATTTCATGCCTGCACCTAATACGATACGACTATAGGGACATCGATGATTTAAACCAATGGCGCTACAGCAACAGCGAAATATCAGTCTTTAACATTCGTTTCTATAAGCGAAGGTTTAGGGCTTAGCATGTTTCGAATAATATGTTTACACTATCGGGGGTCCACTCTATTTCAAAATGTGTGGGTTAATAATATGTAGGGGCCTATTACTGTTTCAAATTTCAAGTTTAACTTCGTATGAATTAAGTTAAGAAAAGTTTCATGTTTTTCTTTTGAGGCAGTTTTTACTTGAATACTTCTTGTGTTATATGCATTTGAAACATCAAATATCCCTATTATGTTATTGATTGTATATTCACAATCACCAAATTTCATATATCTTTAAATTAGTATACATAACGTTTTATTGACCTATGCACTATGCAGTCATTAATTATAACTAAACTAATTTTCCTATTAATTTTTGAATTTAAAAATTAATGACGACAAATACATTACTTGTATATGTAAGTATATATTTTATTTGAAACCCCCCAATATTTGAAGTTTTAAAGACTTATATTATAGCATTTATCACATTATTGGCGACTTTTCATATTTATTAATTAATTTTAAAACGTAAATAGATATTTATTTTGCTTTAAAAATAATTATTTACACTCAACTGACGAATAGTAATATGGGTTGCATATGTATCTACATTTATTAGTTTTTTTTTAAATAATTACACAAAAGTAATGATGGTTATTAAATTAAGTGTTGGATTGTTAGAAATTATCCTTTGGGAATATAGTAAATTCTCAAGAAACTAATTTATAGTTCATAAATTACACTAATAATTGTAGAATAAGTGCGATGAAGAAATTGGTCGCTTTAACCTTTCGAAGTCAGAGAGCCTCCATAGCTCAGGGGTTAGAGCACTGGTCTTGTAAACCAGGGGTCGAGAGTTCAAATCTCTCTGGGGGCAGGCGCCTTTTTTCTTTGTTTTTTCAGCTTTTTAGACACGAACGTTGTTGTATTGATTTATAAATTACTTTAAGAGAGTAATTTTTTTTAACCAACTTACGATTAATTGTAATTCGATTTAACAATGGTTTTGCTAATTATTTTATACAAACTACAAGGCTTATTTTTACTGCAAAGCCAAAAAAGCATTCTTACCTTTTTAAATTTTGAGCCTGAATTGCTAACACGAAAATTAAACCATGGTGACTTTCGATTGTTGCATAAATATTTTACATTTTTTTTTATTGCTTTAGATGTGTAATAGTTTCATTACAAATAAAAAAACTAACTGAGATAATCAAAATTGCTCTGTTATTGCAAAATACTTTCTCTGGGAAAGTCCTTATATTATTAAAAATATAAAACCAATTCTATTTGCATATAATATAAATAGCCAAAAGAAGCTATTTGTAATAAATAAGTTTGTTACCTCCAACTCCCATAACGATGGGTCCGGCGTAGGAGAGGTTATTTAAGTGAAAACCTCTGGATTCATTTTTAATCTTGACCGTGTAATTTCCTCTAACTTCCTGTGCCACTGACAAGTGATCCGCAAAGTATCCTGCAATAAAGGGAATGAGATTTCAGTGAAATGTTTGTTAATTTATTTACTATGAACCAACTGTTAATCTGAAAATTCATTTTCAATTTTTTAACCACCATAAACTACCTCAGATTAATGAGGGAAAATTTGNATAACTAGTGATAATAAAATTACCAAAATTGAATGTTTTAAAAAAGAAACAAATTTGGTATTGTTATTTTTTGTTTATTTTTAATTGCTTTCTTTTTTACAGGCAACCAATTTTATCCTTCAGTGGTGGGTAAGTGTTTGTTATATAGTTTACGTCAGGTACCCGTACCTGTTATTATTATTTACTGTTTTGAATTTGAATTTGAATCATTGTTCATAAAGAATTACAAAAAAAAAAACAAAACTCCCTAAAAATATAAATTAATTTCCTATACACAGGTTCAGTACATCTACAACAACTTAATAATTTGTAAATTAAATTAACTAAAATAACATGTTCATTATTATGGTTAAGAAAAATCAAAGTGTGTCAGTGAAACTTTAATATATCCATAAATAAAGTTGATTTTAGTAATTACCGTACTAGTTGAATTAAATTGAGGGTGTTGGTTGGTAAATTCTTGTAAACAAAACAATGGGCTGAACTTTTCGCCAACATTCTTGGCTTTATCGGGAGATCAATGTTATAAATTAAATTTTTATAGGCATAAATATATATATATAAAAATGAATTGCTGTTCGTTAGTCTCGCTAAAACTCGAGAACGGATGG